TCAACGCACAGGAATAATTTTTTCTACCATGGAGAGTAATAATCCAGTGCCATCTATCTCTGATTCTATGCTTTCTCTCCTTCTATGCTTTCTTCTTTTGTTTAGTTATCCACTTGATCCATCAATTTCTATTATGATCAGTCTACCATTAGCTTCTGTGTAGGTTCAAAATGGCCACAGTCAAGTGAAACAACATAGTAGGAAACAAATTTGACATCACACTATTTTTCTCACCTGTCAACTCTGTTTTCCCCTTTTAGGAAGGTACAGAAGAAAAGCATATAACATAAAGCTTATTCAACACAAAAAATTTAAAAACAAAAAACAAACTGTAATTATTTCCCTTCACATTAAATACTGCCTATAGTAAAAAACATGAAAAAAATAGTTAAATTTTGACCATTAACCCAATCAACACTTGGGAACCACTGTATGCTAGTCATAAAACTAAGAGCTTGCACTGCATTAGCTCACTTTGTTAAGAAAACCAAGGAGCACAAAAGCAAAATACCTGGCTCCAATATGCCTCCAGAGCCACCCAGGTCACAACTAACAGCACCAAGGTCTAAATTCAGATGACTTGGCCATAGACTCCAACACCCTTGACTACAAATGAAGCTAGGCCTCTGTTCTAAGAGAGCAAACACCTGGCAGCAAGTGATGTTCTAGGGTAGGGTGGCAAACCTACAGCATCCCTGTGGGCTTTGTTATACTGAAAGCTCTCAAAGGTTCACCATCACTGTTTTAGGAGATTCCCAGAAATAGCTTTTAGTGTGTGCAGTATTAAGGGAAAGCTCTCAGCTCTATTCAACCAACACTTCAAATGCACTGCTAAAATGCAGAGCCAAAGAAAACAAGAAGAAAAACATTAAAAAACTGAGAAAACTGTTAAGAGAAGTAATGAAGGCTGGGGTGGTGACACGCCTGCAATCCCAGCTATGTAGTGAGTTCAAGGCCAGTCTGAACTACACAGTGACCCTGTCTTAAAAAAACAGAAAGAAGGCCAGGTGTGGTGGTGCATGCCTGTAGTCCCAGCACTCAGGAGGCTGAGGCAGAAGGATTGCTGTGAGTTGGAGACCAGCCTGGGCTACAGTGAGTTCCAGGTCAGTCTCAACTAAACAGTGAGACCCTGTCTCAAAAAACCAAAATCAGAAGGAAAAGTAATGAAGTTGGTATAGTGTACATGCTGAGGCAAGAGGATCACAAGTTCAAGCCAGGCCTGGGCACTTGGCAAGACCCTATCTCCAAATGAAAAATAAAACAAGGGCTGGGGATGCAGATCAGTGTGAAGGCCCAGGGTTGAATCTCAATACCAAAAGTGCGCGGGGCAAGGGGAGATGGTCGAGCACTGGCTCCATGAGGCACCAGCTCCCATTTCAGGCTGCCCAGTGAGGCTACCTAGGATATCCTTGTCTTGAAGGACAACCACCACCCTCAACTCTAGGGAGCATTCAGAAGCAGACAATGCTTTCCTAGGAGGAATAAAGAGACAAAGAAATGATAGGTGTATTTGAGAAACAAATCTAGCCCTAAAGGTGCTGCTAAGTGGTAGAAAGCGCATGCCTAGCCGGAGATATAGCTCGGTAGCTCCACGCCTGCCTGCCTGCCTGACAAGTGCAAGGTCCTGAGTTCAATCCCTCATACCAGAAAAAGAAAAAAAAGCACACGCCTAGCATACACAAGGTCCTGGGTTCAACAGGGGAGGGGGAAGTACAGACTCAGCCAAGTATTTCCTGGGTAAGCATCAACTGTGACTAGATTAAAACCACCTCAGTTAACTTTTCACTCACTTCTTTGGCTCAAGGTATCAAAAAACACACTCAGGCAGGGACCCAACAATGGCAAAGAAACACCATCCTCTTTGGATTACTCAAATCCATAACCAGCATCCAGGATTTTTCTCCTTTCCAAAAAAGGAAGCCAAGTGTGATCCCTGTTATCTAAGTAGGAGGTCCATGCGCTCCATTTTACTGAATCCTGTTTCCACTGAAAGGACAATGCCAACTTATATTCTCTTGTAACTCTTTCCAGTCACTTTTCTACTGGAGGCAACCACCAGACATTCTACTCTTCAAAAATCCACTGGCAATTCAAAGGAGACCTCTATTAGGTTTTTACCTCAATTCTGACCTTCCTATGTGCTGATTTTAGGAATTGTCAAGAGGCTGATATGAGTGCCAAACAATCCCCAAATAGCAAAACGAGCCATTTTTAGCTTGCCTGATTAAGTGCTCACATACACAAAATACAAATGTGTTTCCCTCTTAAAGGATCCCCCAAAATCTTCCCCTCTGTAAATTACACTTAAATTATTTCATCATAACTTTGAAAAACTTACCTAATGCCACTACCTTGCTAATTTCACTGGCTCTATTTAAAGCATTATATTATTCCTATATTTCTACTTCTGTTCTCTAAAGACTACACCCTGAAAAGGAGGAAGGGTATAAGGATCTGCAGAGTACTATCTAGTTTCCTCACAACAAACAGGAATAAAAGCAGGTGTGCTGCATGCCTATAATTCCACCACTTGGGAGACCCTAGAGTACATTGTGAGTTCAAGGCCATCCTGAACTTAGTGAGACCTTGTCTCTATTTAAAAAAAAAAGATAGGAAGAGCTCTCCCACCACTACCAAATTCCACAGAACACAATTTATCCATTCTATTAGGTAAGAAGGGATGTTTCCTGCTAAGGAAAAAAAACACACACACACAAACACAAACACTAGAACAGACTATACAATCCAAGAACTACAAGTAACACTTAAAATTTATGTTCCTGATTTAATTTTCTGAACAAAGAAAACTAGTATACACAATTTCAAATGAACTAGTCAAATTAAGGATTATTTCAGAATTCAGCTTCTAAACCTACCTACCTTCTTTTAAAAAGAGTTAGCATTACTAAAAAGTTGCTAAGTTTCGCTTCTCAGCCTTTTGGCTAAGATCAAGTATAAAAAACTGCTAAATCCTAGAGAGAAATGATCTATTCAATACACAACAGCACCAAAACTAGAAGACATTTATATTCGTACCGTACATAGCTAAAGAGTCTGGCACACAGAAAATACTAAAAATATACTGCTTTCCCTTGCTTCTTCAAACAACTGCAACAAAAGCAAAAGGATAAACCTGGTACTTGTACCTCCACACAAGAGCATACTACTCAGTAATTAAAATGCACTTTAATACCTGAAGTGTGAACTTCATGAATCTACCTCAAAAACATTATGCTAAGCAGAAGAAGACCAACACAAAAGGATACAGACCATAAACTCTCAATGGAAACCTACATACAGTACACTGCAGTAAGATCAACAGCTGCCAGGGACAAGGTGGGGGATACACACAGTCTTTTAGAAGTACATGCCAAAATCAAACTATACTTTACAGTTTCTTAAAAGTGATTTTTACTGTATATGTATTCCACAAAACATGAGTCTGTAAAAAATTGAGTTTCTCAAGTATTATTTCCCTAGAACTACTTCAAAGAGAATGCTAAAGACCCTGAGAAGCAACTATGGTGTAAAAAGATAATTTATTCGGTAATGGATATACATACATATATATGAAACTCAGCCACAATTTAAAAAAAAAAATCAAAGCTGACCACTGAGCAACCATTTAAACCATGCTTCTCTTTTCTCAAGGAGGGGGCACTATTAGTTCCTCATTCCCTAAATTAGCATTCTTATTCACACCAATTTAACAGTTCTCAAAATTACTCCCCCCAGCCCCGCATGACTCAGGAGGCTGAGACAAGAGGATGGTCATGAGTTTGAGACCAGCCTGACCTATACAATGAGACCCTACCTCACCCCCCCCACCAAAAAAAACAAAAAACTCTTCCCTCAAAAGTATAGTCTATTCAAGAAGTCTCCAAAGAGACTATCTTACAGAATGTTGCCACTTTTTTGCATATACTTTTTGTTTGGTTGGTTGGTTTAGGTTTTTGAGACAAAGTCTCTGTAGTACAGGCTGACCTTGAACTCAGTATGTGGCCCAGGTTGGCCTTAAACTCAGGAATCCTCCTGCCTCAGCCTCAGTCTGAGTCTGAGTACTGGGTTTATAGGCCTGTGTCACCTCGCCTGGTCATCTGCATATTCTTAAACAAAAACAGAGGTCTAAGATCAAGGAGATATTACTGCAGAGTCCATTTCAATCTATTTTGATATTTGTGAATCACACAAAATTCCATTACTGTTAGCAGCTCCTAATAGTTTCTTGAAGCGTTTACATTTTTATCAGTCAGATCCAAAGCTTTTTCTTTCTTATAAAAACCCTGGCAAAAATCAAACCCCGATTTCCCAATCTTCCCTATCTGTAAGGCACAAAATCTAAACCTACGTTGGCAAGAGCTCAATGGGCAAAGAACAATTACTTGAACACATCTCTCCTCATCACAGAAGAGGAAAAATGAACCCCAGAAGGCACCAAGAGGTAACACATATACATCAATTAAAAAGATTTCCTAGCAACAAGGGCGTACTAAAGAAAATATGATGAAATCGGTAAAGAAGAGCAGATGTTAATGCACACCATGCTCTAAGCTGCTTGACCCAAGAATCTTCCCTGAGATTGTCCCAGAAAAACTGTTTCTCTTGATGTCTTTTCTAAGAGAAGCAGGTCTCGCCCATCTTCCAGTTCGTGGCCTCTCCACATCAGGTCAGACCCTGGAGCTGGGTTTGTCCCGGCTGAATGGGGAGGGGCTGTCTCGGGTACTGAAGGATAAAGAGCACCTTCCACCCACGAGTTGCCAACAGCAGCCCCCTCTCAAGGATGACAATCGAAAACGTCCCTACATATTGCCATAGGTCTGACTCAGGGGGGAGGGTGTCAAAACCTCCCCCAGTTGATCTAGCTAGAACATTACTGAGGTGCTCAGGTTGCAAAGCATTCAAGGTTAGCGGCTGCACTCGGGAGCAGAGAACACTGTCAGAACGCAGGACACGCACCCTGCCCCTCCCCTTCACCAGCAATGCACCAAGGTTATCTTTACCTTTGTAGAGGTTGGTGACAGCGGTGGCTGCGTTTTGGAAGGGAACCCAGAGAGAAAGTCCTGGCTGCTGACACACTCGGTCTGAAAACAAACATCCAAAGGGGGGAGGGGGGACAAAAAGCAGAACGGACATAAACGCACGCACAAGGACACAGAGAAAGAGAGAGACAGAGACAGGGAGAGAGAACGTTATTTGGGCGTCAATCACTCCGGAACGGCCATATTAGGTTTCGCCATTTTGTTCAAGGGTTTCGGGATCCCAAAGTGAGCGGGGGGCCGGGATCCAGGGGATCGCGG